AAACCTTACGTTTTATTTATGATGTGATATTAATTTTCTCAAATTTATTTACAAATACCTTTTGGAATTCATAAATTTCAGAAAATTCTTATCAATGGTGAAATTACACGTGAATTTAAACAAAAATCACAATAAAACATCCTAAAATATCAAGAATGTTGACACATCGCCTCGTAGACATAACATATGTGAAGGAGTATACAGGAAGTTTTCTAAATTACTTCCGGTTTTAGAAAGCTTGTTATTGTTTACATTCAGTCAACCATACATTTCAAACCGAAATTTTTTTGTTTTCCGATTTTGTTATGGGTTTTCATTTAAATTCCGGAAGACCATAAAGTGACATTTTACGCAGAATTGTTTTCAACCGTTACTTCACATTCTCAATCTTACATTGGTATGGACTGACCACAAGACACGGTTCCCATTTGAATCACTGAAGTCAAGCATCAATGAATAGAGTTTTTAAGCGGAAGGGTAACCACTTTGATGAGACTGCGAAGTGACAGAGAGTGCGTGGCATCAGTCTTCACCCAACTGTTCTACCCTAAAGTGTTCTAGTTCACGCGATAGTCATTGGGTTACCAAGTCGGGGAGGCAGATCCAAATTGCGATGGCATGTAGACTGTTGCCAACAACCCATTGTGCAGCTATAGTGAGACATAAAAAAGAACTACTTACATTCTTAATGTTATACTTAGGAGCTTTTGTCTGATTTTTCGAGCTGCCTACTCGTTACATCATTCAGGGGGATAAACTAGCACAAACGAAATTTACCACAAGTTTTTAATTATGTACAGAATGGAACAGTGACATTTTTTTCCGCTGCTAAGTACTCTGGCTTCTGAAGACAAAGTTATTCCGCTACTCAATCATCAGTAATCAAAGAAACTTCCTAGTGGCAGGCAGTATGTAGTCCCAAGGCCTTTAGGTGTTGTCTGATTTTCCTGGCAGCATGCTGCTTGTAGCCAATACGAGTTTCACAAGTTCTTCTCAAGATTCTTAATCGAAAATTGGCTTTCTTTCTGTTGCCATGTAATTTTTCGGACAGCGAAATATGATTTTATTTTATTTATCTCCAGCAGTGCAGGTCAAATGAAATGGAAAATCAAAGATAAGTGAAAAGAATGGAGATCCTCCAATATAATTAAAATGAGATTACATTAGTTTTTTAATGTTTCATTATGCAGTAAGTCACCTATCAAAATTGAGATATGACAAGACAAAATGTTCTGCTGTCACTAAATCGTTGGATTTAGTGACAGCAGAAGAATCTCAAGAAGAGGGTTTCTCTCCTTCCCTCTATACATATATACCAACCGGGGGCAAATTATCTGAATCTCCCAAAATGGCAAACAAGAATTTGAAGAACAAATTGTTTTAAAATTAAAACAAAATTAATAATCGAAATTGTTTACTTGTAAATTATTTAACGGTATATATTTTTTAGTCTGTATCACTACTTTTTTTCTTTGTTTGCTGTGACATTTGAAACCAAAAATTTTCCCCATCGTTCAGTAATAAGGACATATATTTCCTCTGCAGGGGAGGGGGGATTAAGAAGCGATGATTTGATAGCAGTTTTCACCAAGTAAATTTTAAAGCTTGCTTGAAATAGAAGCATTTTTTTTTTAGAATTCAGACACGAAAAAATGATCTATTTTTTTAATTTAATTTATATTTTTAATTACAGAACTTTAATTACACAATTAAATCAAATTTAAACTTAACTACACAAATATTGAGTGAAAACCTGTAATCATAGATTGGGCTGTTTCCCTTTATAAAATGTAAGGGGGCTACAGCCTTCTCCCTTTGATTAAGCGGTCCCTAGTTGGATTGTTCGACATATATTTTTTACTTTCCGCAATATAGTTTGCTGCAATGACAACAAAGAGTAGAATGGCTGATCTGTAATAGCACATGATGTTTTAAAAGAAAAAAAAAAGAGTGTATATTAGCATTTTTTATAAAAATTTTGGGACTTTTTGGTTAGCCAGAAGCAAAGAAATTAATTTTTTTTTATAAATATAGATACAGATTTCTTAATTTTTTTTTATTTTATTGATTTTTTTGTGAATGTCCATTTTGTTCACTGCTTTAAAAAAATAAAATAATAAATTGTTCAAGATCTACATTTTGTGGTGATTTCTCACTTGTGCTCAGCTAACCAATAAGAACCAAAAAAGTTCAAAAGAAGGAAAAAAAACTAAAATGATTTTTTTCACCATTTTTTCAAATGTAATAACTGAATTTACAATTTCTTTGAAAACACAATCTACGTAAGTGGCGCCATCTATGTTTATTGAATACTAATAATTATTTATACTTATTCGTACCTATATTTACAAGTTATATATAAAAAAGAATAAATAACTAAAATTAAAAGTCTTTTTGAATTCAGTTCTAACAAATAGAAAAATTTGTTGAATTATTGATGGTTCTAATTTGGGATGTACCAAAAATTTCAAACATAATTTTACTGAATTTAAGTACTTTTAATATGTGTAATCAAGTACTATGTAAAAGATATGAGTGAAACTTTAAAAAAGAATGACAACACATTTAAAGTACCAGTTTTCTCAGAAAAATATTTAAAAAAAAGTCTAAAAGCAAATGCAAAAGAGGCAAAATGGGTGTATAATTTGATCCATGCTGATATGTATGTGGGTGCACACACATGTTATAAATACAGGGTATCTGCTACATTCATTTTAGATTTTCAAATCCATGAATTTTCATGACTTACTGAAGTTACTATTTTCCCAGGAAAAAAAAACACAACAATATATTTAATAATTCTCCGTTATCTGCTCAAGCATGCAGCATCAGCATTTAACCACTGGATATCATTGCTGGCTACTCTCAAAGCCACGTAGCAGAATCGCGGCCAATATTTTCACAGAACGCAAATGAGTTTTTGCAGAGAGGCAAAAGGATTTTTATTTTGGGAAGTTAAAAACTTTGGTTTTCTTTTCTGCAGAATTTTTTAAAACGTTTTTTTTTCTTTTTTTCTGCAGAAATATACTCTAAAGATATTTTTCTTGTTCATCGGTAAAGAAAGAAATGCTCATAATTTTTCTGTTCTCATTTCGGAATAAAAAAAAATTTGCTAATGACTGGCTTGCTTCAGCTAGAATTTTAAATTGGTAAAAAAAAAATTATGAATAAATAAATAAAAAAATCGTGAAATAGCGGAAGTTTAAAATATAATTCGCTCTAGAAATGATCTTTCGTTCATTTTTTGAAAGAACACCATAATTTTTAAAAAACACCATAAGAACATTTTAATAAAATGTAACTGTGAGTGGGGATCTTGTTATGAATTCAGATATTCAAAATACTTTGAAATTGGGGAGGTAAATTCCATTTTAAAAATAAGATTTTTCGGCGACCTAAATCCATGACTTTCCACTATTTTCTTTTTTTTTTTTTAAAAAATTGCTAAAATCATGACAAATTTTGTTCAATACCGAAATCCATGACTTTCCAGGCGAGCAAATACTCTGTAAATAATATTGTGTCAGTTCAGATAGAAATGTTGTTAAATATAAATGCTGCAAAAATGAGTGAGAAAATACACAAGCTTTTGCAATTTATTTTGCTGGACCCAGTATTGTCAGATTATAACCGGATTTATTTTGAAGGTATTATGTTGTAGAATGAAAATGCTGTACTAAAGTCCAAATATGTACAAAAATGATTTATAATATGAATGATTAGGATTTCTTACTTACAAAGATCTGAAATTTGAAGGACGAAAAAAAGAAGAATCAAAAGTACATTGTAAATGTTGAGTGTGTACAATCATTAAAATGTTAAAGNAGATTTTTCGGCGACCTAAATTCATGAATTTCCACTATTTAAAAAAAAAAAAAAAGTTTAAATCATGACATTTCATGACAAATTTTGTTCAAAACCGAAATCCATGACTTTTCAGGTGAGCAGATACTCTGTAAATAATATTGTGTCAGTTCTGATAGAAATGTTGTTAAATATAAATGCTGCAAAAATGAGTGAGAAAATACACATGCTTTTGCAATTTATTTTGCTGGACCCAGTATTGTCAGATTATAACCGGATTTATTTTGAAGGTATTATGTTGTAGAATGAAAATGCTGTACTAAAGTCCAAATATGTACAAAAATGATTTATAATATGAATGATTAGGATTTCTTACTTACAAAGATCTGAAATTTGAAGGACGAAAAAAAGAAGAATCAAAAGTACATTGTAAATGTTGAGTGTGTACAATCATTAAAATGTTAAAGAAGAAAAAATTGAAACAAAAATAGAAAAAATAATTTTTATTTATCTTATTATTTAAATTAAAAATGTATTATATGCTATCACAAGCAGAAAATTAAACATCAGGCAATGTTTTTTCACAAAAGAAAAAAAAATAATACTTAATTTATCAAAAAGTTATAAATAACCAGATTTTAAAAAAAATATTAGATAAATTTATTTAAAGTATTTCAGTTGAAACTTGTTTTAAATAACTGTAAATATTTTTTTTGAAGAAATATAACTCCTATAGCTATTAAAAAATTAATACTATAAAGAAAAAATACTCTCTCCAAAGTTTGTAATAATGTATGGTCCCTGAAAAAATATCTACACAACATACAAGTAAAAAAAAAAATCAAACAGCAATTTACAGGAATATTACAAAATTATTCATAATATATATAGTATATACAAAGCAAATATCCAGACAGTTGGACAAAAGCAATTAATTTCATCAAAATGTGTGCATAAGTGCTAAGATATTTAAATTTTAAAATGTTCTAAATTTTTGTTTAAGAAATTTACTGACTGATCAAATCAATTTATTGAAGAAAAAAAACTATATTTTCGGTCTATAAACTTTTAACTTCTTAAATTAAACAAATAAGAATTTGCAGTTCACTTTTTAATGAGTATTTTAAGAATAATCTCTTGAAAATCCATAGAACTGTTTTTATTTGTTATATGTTTCAGTTTTTAGATTTTTTTTATTTTTAGATTCAGTTTTTAGATAATCTTTCGAAAATCCACAGAACTTTTTTTATTTGTTATATGTTTCAGTTTTTAGATTATTTTTTTTTAGATTCAGTTTTTAGATAATCTTTTGAAAATCCACAGTACTGTTGTTATTTGTTATATGTTTCAGTTTTTAGACTATTTTTTTAAGATTAAGTTTTTAGATAATTTTTTAAAAATCCATAATACAGTTTTTATTTGTTATATGCTTCAGTTTTTAGATTATTTTTTTTATGTCCAAAAATTACTAACCACTACTTATTATATGAAGAAAAAAATCACCCACATGTAGGACAAGTCACAAAACAAGATACATTTAACAGAAGCCTGTATGTAAAATAATACAACATATTTTAGCCTTAATTGTAGTATTGCTAATACTGTTAATAAAAATATACAAATATCGATTGGTAACACATCTTTTTTTCAGAATTTCAAATTCAAGACCAATAAAAAGAGAATGTAATGGTGTAATAAGATAATGATCACGATAATAGCTAGATATAAAATGGGACTTTACAATGAAAGCTCAGAAAATTTCCACCTTCAACAGTTCATAGATATTTTCCTTTTATGAATCAGCAAAAGCACACGAATTAATGCTAATATATTAAAAGTTATTTGCATAATTTAATATATATTTCCTTTGTTATGAAAGTTCAACTTGTTTAATAAAAAAAAAAAATAAACGTAACAAGAAAATCTAAAAACAAGAGTGGAAACTCTTGGCGTGCGCAACAAAACAACTAAAAATCTGTGTGCGTTTCTTTTTCACGTCCATCAACACATTAAAAAAAAAAACCCATATGAGATGTCAAATGATTTCCAAACACTCACTGTTAATGTTCTCAATGATGAAAAGTTTATGGAAACAATCTCAGATCTTTATAGTATGTAATGACAATGAATTCCTCAAATAATTCTGAAGTAGTCCTAGGAATTAGAATTTTGAAGGCACATTTTGGCAGCACATTCAACTGACTCTTCTATGCTGTCAAATACCGGGATACCAGCACGGGTTGCAAGATCAGATAAATATACACGGCCTCTGTTGTAATCCTTGACAGCTTGTTCAGAAAGCTACAGGGAAAAAATTATTTTCATTACTTTTTTTATGTAGCTAGTTATACAGGGTTAAATAAGAAAATGCTTTGTTTATTTTTGTGCCACAATAAAATTATACAAAAGGATGAAAATGTCTAATATTTCTCATTGATTTAATTTTTAAGATTATACTAACATCAATAAGCATCTAAAACTAAGTCACGGTGGATGGCTGATAATAATTCTCGACTTGTACCGACCACAGTGCTGATCTAACACATCCTCAGTGGTAGACAGGTCATGGGTTAGAATCCCGTTGCCATTGAGCTAACTTTAGGACATTTTTAGTGGTTTTCCTATCCGTGTAACGCAATAGAGGGCTATAGTTCCAAAATTAGAAGGCTATCGGGTGGACTGGCAAATGCCGGTCATAAAATAAAGTTTAAAAAAATATCTAAAGCTGCTATTCAAGAGCTAAAGTGGTTAAAAAGATATGGGTTATTCCATATGAGGAGGGCAATCTCAGAAATTAATTTTCGTAAATAAGTGTACTAGTCAAACAAATTTCTGAGTCATACACTAAAAAGTTAAACTTTTAATTTAAAGGAAAACAACATATTTGGAAAAAAAACTTAGATTTGAATTTAGCTTGTATTTAAATACCAAATTTTGCTGCTACCTATAATTTTAAATTTTTTGAAGGAACTTTTGAGTTATTTCAAAATAAATTTCATAGCCATTATTTTGCTTATATTTGAAATATTGCACATTTGAATAAATCAATTTTTACTTCTAAAGAATTTAGGTAAGTTAAAACTTCATAATTTTTCAGACAAGTGGTCCTTTATTTTTAAAGTCCAAAACAGTATGTTTTGATAAATAAAAATATATAATTTTAAATTATTGATAAAAAATTATGTTTGATTTTTTTTCCTACATGCTAATCTATAAGTCTTGTTAAATTATTTGTTTCTAATTTAAATTGAAAGAAATTAAGAAATGCTTTTAAAAATATCATTTTTTTTTTTATGATACAACAATATTTATGCCTAAAATAAAGATAAAATCTTAATTTATAACAAGTTTTGCTAATGCAAATTTACACTCCAATTTTCCTTATTCAGAAATAAAATAAAAAATTTTAATGCAGCATGGTAAATATGAGCCTTGTATACTCATTTTACCCAAATTGGAACATTACAAAATACTTCAAAAATTTTTTTGCAAAAAGTTCCTTTTTGTGAATAATTATGAATATAGTGTAAAATGTAGTATGTAGTAAGATACAATTTTGTGAATGAGTTTGTTATTTATTTCAATGCCCTATTTGTTTGGCTAAGGATCACAATTTGAATTCAATAGGAAATGAATAGCAGCAATTAATTGCAAAATTCTAAATGAGTAAAGAACTTAACATCTGTGATAATTATGTATATACTTCAGTGTGTATACATCATTATTAAATTACTGAAACTTTTTGAGAAAAATATCTNTCCGGTTTTTTGGTTTTCCGGTTTTCTGATTTCCGGATAACGGGTTCTGTACTGTACAACAATATTTATGCCTAAAACAAAGATAAAATCTTAATTTATAACAAGTTTTGCTAATGCAAATTTACACTCTAATTTTCCTTATTCAGAAATAATAAAAAAATTTTTTAATGCAGCATGATAAATATGAGCCTTGTATACCCATTTTACCCAAATTGGAACATTACAAAATACTTCAAAAAATTTTTTGCAAAAAGTTCCTTTTTGTGAATAATTATGAATATAGTGTAAAATGTAGTATGTAGTAAGATACAATTTTGTGAATGAGTTTGTTATTTATTTCAATGCCCTATTTGTTTGGCTAAGGACCACAATTTGAATTCAATAGGAAATGAATAGCAGCAATTAATTGCAAAATTCTAAATAAGTAAAAAACTTAACATCTGTGATAATTATGTATATACTTCAGTGTGTATACATCATTATTAAATTACTGAAACTTTTTGAGAAAAATATCTCTTTATAAACATTCAAATTCTTAACATTTACTTTACCTTAACACAATAATCAATTATATATATTAACTTATGAAGAAAACAAAAATTACTGCTTAAAAGTATCTTAAATAATTACATAATTAAATTATTTATGTTGTCTTGCACATCTATCATAATATATAGATAAGTAAGTTTTTGCAGATAGAAAATAAATGTAATTTTCTGCAACTACTTAACTTTTTTCATCGAACATTTAACTCTTACAGAATGTTAGATCTAGACGCTATAAGATTATTTTCTACTATTTCTAAAATTTAACCAGCTAATGACTTTGGCAAAATAGAAAGAAACAAAACATTTGATACTTCATATTTTGATAACAAAGAATGCATGGCATGAACAATGATTGAGAAGCTAAAAAGGTGGATATATTAAACCTTGATTGATATTTTTAAAGTATTCACACAAATTTAACATCATATTTAGAATGCATGTACATTTAATACTAAATCAATTACCTTTTCTCCATCAATTTCAGTGCCGTCTTCAATGTACTGAATGCATAAAACTACTTGGCACATCAAACCAACATAATGAGCAGCCTAAAAAAAGACACTTTTGTTTAATAATAGAAATTCAAATAAAAGTCAATTGCATAAGAATTAACTCATAAAAGGTGAGAAATATTTTTGTAACAGAATCTATAATTTATAACATAAAGGACAGGGATAGCCTGGTTGCCAGGGCGCTGGATTAACGCTCGTGAGAACGGGATGATTTAAAATCTAGCCGACCGAATACTCCCCCTGTTGTAAATGGTGACTGGTGCATGCTATATCTGTTGGGTTACAAAGGTGATGGGAAACAAATTGTATCTCTGGAGGTATTGAATTGGAGATTAATCATTCTCTGGTTCAGGACAGAATTATGATCAGTGAATGGATGTAAGAATGGGTTTACCCTATAAACAGGTGTGACAGAAGTCAAATTCTCGGCCACAGATGGTGCCACTGAGTAACAAGAACAATTGCACCCCTTGCCTTAATGGCGTACGACAGCAGCAACATAACTGAATGGGTGATGATTCTAAATGATATTTTATTAAATTTGAAGATATTAGATTTTAAGTTAATACACTAACAATTGGAAATTAAGATTATGCCTCTCATTTGTCGGTTGCATTATAGATTTCCAATTAACGAAATCTCTTACACTGATTTAAACAGTGCACACCACAGTGTTTGCATTCCTGGAGTTTTAATTTGAAATAAAAAAAGAGACTTTTCAATGTCTCTTTTTTCTATTATATATTTCTTTAACCCACTGGCAGTTTAACAATCTGACAAAATCGAGAGAAATATTATAAACATTAATTTCAATAATTGAATAGAATCTTAGACATATGATCAGAATTTATTAGGACAAAATGGTCAAGTATATACTGATAACCAATAACTTGTATAAAGAAGAGAACTAAGAAAATATTAAATATGTGAATAAAAAAAGATAAATATCATGAGTAAAATAAAATGTTGACTTTTTTTTTTATTTTTCGCTCCATAAATCTATTATATTTTTCTTCAACCCACTAGCAGTTTAACAATCGTACAAAATCGAGAGAATGTTACTCCCAAATACACTATTTCCCTATCTAATAACATGGAAAAACCGGCTATGCTATGAGGAGAAGACTGCTGGTTAAAATACGACTTTATAAGTTCAGAACCGTCATTTGGTCAAATAAATCTGTTATATATACCATCAGCCTACTTTGAGATTAACTATGAAGCATTTACAAACATCAAAATAAATGATCTTAACTTAAAAAAGCTAATAGTGTCAAATAAAATAAGATTAGTTGATTAATATCAACAGACAGAATCCAAAAAATATGAAATGAAACGTACAACAATCATGTCTGCCAAAGATCTGGAATCTTTGCTGATGACAAACAACAAAACTTGGCTATTTTCCATGTTTGTTATTTCCATTGGTATTAATCTTTCACTCCAGATACCATCCTGAGGTATGAAGTAGGTAAGTCCTTGCTTTCTGAAAAAACAAATGAATAAATAATTAAATGATAATAAATTGCAACAAGTTTTTACCATGCTTAAGTTCAATTTTTTGGGACAAAGATCAGTGCTAAAATTCGCAGTACACTCATTTACTTTTTTTATAAATTTACTCATTACAAATTTTTACTTCAAGAATTTCAATTTGATTATTTCGAAATTTAGAGAATTTTAAAATATTCAAATAAACTGAAGATTATTTAGAATTTTTTTTTCAAAATAATAAAAATTATTATTAAAAAAATCAATAAAATATACAAGCAAATGATGCGAACGATGATAAATGGTCTCAGTGTGAAAAATCTCAGAATAAAAAAAAAAAATGCTTCAGTGCATAATTTTAATTATTATGCTCTTAGAAAACCACGCAAAATGTGTAAACCTTATTTTTAAATATTTGTAGTTCAACAGATTGGAAACAATAAGTTACTTAAAGACACATTAGATTATACTCGAAAAGGAAAATTTTAAAACTAAATGCTAAACAACTAAGGATCATCAAGTTTTAAGAACCTTTACCAACAAAAAAGAAGAAAACCAACAAAGGCCAATAAATATCGCTCCCTCCGTAATTAAACTGTTTGAACTATTTTGATGTGAAAGAAGAGAATTAGTTGAAAATGCAAATGTATCATCCTTATTGGTTTTTTCATTGTCATAGTTAATGGTCATCTTACATATATATATTGTTGGTTCAAAATTAAAACGAAAACATAATACGCTCTCCTGAAAAGTAGTGATTTGCAGAAGTGTCATTTCAATTTTGAACCAGCGATATATTCTTATATGAGATATTCAAGATTAAAGTTAATTATTATAATTAAATTAAGATACAAATTTGCAGAAAATCCTTCTATCTATACAATTTCAGACAATTTGAAATTTAATATAATTTTCAGAGTACAAATTCTGTTTATATCTGTAGTGATTGGCTCACCACTGGAGGGCGTGTTAATTACTAACCGTATTAAAGAATTAAGATAAAAGTAATTGAAGAGGAGCCGGCGCGCTAGGCTGGTCTTTCCTCTAACAGAGCATATTTATATATATCTGTATTTTGGCCGCTGAGGGCCCTTATGATTTCATAATTGATTTGTTTTAAATATTAATAAATAGATTTTTGTTGCTGCTACGTTAGTGGATATCTTTCGAAAGGGATAATACACCTTACAATATCTAAAAATATATAAAATCTTATTTTAAATTTAAGCTAACATTTTAATTAATTTTGTTTTGGTCACAATTCCTAGTATTCTTTTTGGCATTTTATAATTTGGATAATTTGGATAGAAGAAAACTAATAAAATAGATCCATACAGTTTCTACAATTAGTCAGTAATGATAAACATAAGCACAGACATAGTATGAAATCTCTCTAATACATGAACTAAGACACAGTATTTCGATTTAAATAGATAATATAAATTTTTCTATTGTGAAATTACTTTAATAATGGAATAGCTATATCTTCTCGCCATGTGGAAGATCTTCTTGTTCCTCCCAGATATATATCTCGGTACGTAGTCTCATATATAATGTCATGGCTACTATTTTTATCATCGAGTCTTGTTTCAGGACGAACCCAATCTAAAATAGTTAGACAACATATGAACAAACTGAATAAACAATAAAAGTACAAACAGCTGCTTCAGTACAACAATAGAACTAATTTGTAACGATCACATAAAATAATCAGAACAGAACATTTAAACAGAAACACAAACTATTTACTAATTAAATAGTAGCTTATTTTTTCCATTATTTTTAAACAACAAGGTATAGAAAACATGTTTTTAAAATCAGAGATTTGAACTTTTTTCAAAATGTAATTTTATAAATCCATAATATAATATAAAAATATGAAAAAAAGTGATAATTATATAAAAGACTTACCCACAAGTTTGGCTAAAGGAGTTAAAACTGAACACAAAATATCTGAAGCTTTGTTCTTCAAAGCAGATAAATTAGGAAACTGACTATCAGCCTAAAATCAAAGTTTTAATAGGAATTAGTTATTTAATAACATGAAAGCATAAAAAACAAATTTGATAGTTTAAGCTTACATATAGGAAACAAGTTTTCAAAATAAATTTAATAATAGTACTATTTTTAAAAATTACTTTTTATGAATGCGTATGCAATAAAAAAGCAGAAAAAAAACTTTTGTAATAATTTACAGTCTATTTAAGTTAAAATTGAAAAAAAAATTTTTATAAGACAAATAAAATTTTCATTTTCATTTTTTTCCTTCAAATAATTTAAGATGATGAAATGCCAATAACAGACTCAAGATTTTGAGAACTAATATTTATACTTCTAAAGCAAGAAAAAAAAATAGACTTATACTTTCTTGGAGTAGTTTTTATATGTAACTAAGCATATTATAACAATTAATTTGCTTATTTATGGCTTTATTTTCAAATGTAACAGTTGAAAGATTCTATTTTTACAACCTTTATGGGTTAAAGACCAGCCTGGAATTAAAAAAATTTTAGAATATTTTATTAATAAGCAAATAGTTTGCAGTAGCTTTTCAAATTCTTTGGGAATTTTTTAGAATTCTAAATAATATTGTATGCTTAATATTGCTAGAAGAAAAATTATTTACTAATTTCTAAATTTTGTAACCAACTTTTCAAAATCTTTAGATTAAAATTTGATTACAACAATTTTTATTGTTTCTTTTATGCATGATATATTTTAAATCCTATATTTTTTAAAGAATTTTGAGCCGTATTATATAAATATTTACACATTTAAAAAAAAAAAAAATTCTAATTATAAAAGATCAAATAATATCAAATCATAATGTTAAATACACCAAGCATGAAAGACTAAAATATCAAATGGTATTAAAATTACCTGTTTTCTAAATTCCGTCATAATACAACAAAACTGGTTAAAATCAATTAAACAATTGTCAAAAGCTTCATCGTTTAGATCATCTGTGCAGGAGTGCTTATGCTGATTTACTATAGATTTTAAACTATCCATATGCATTTCTTTATCTGTGAGTATTTTGTAAGCCATGCAAACCTAAAATAAAGAAAGAGAAACTGAGTTTAGAATTTCAAACTAACTGAAATAAAAAATTATCTGTATGTTTTTGGTAAATTACATTAAACTACACTTCGATAAATTACAAAATCGATAAATTATCTTAGATTTGGAGATATATATTGTGCCCCTTTGAGGTGGAATATGTACATAATATTATGTATCACATTATAATTGTTCAGTTTATCTATCTTATTTTAGCATTCATGCTTAATTAATATTAAGATATTTTTTCTTAATATCAAGGAACACTATCAATAAATTATTTAAAATTATTTTCTATTAAGCCTGATAACAAGTACTACAAGTGATGAACAAAAATTTAATTCTACATGAAAATATTATAAAATAAAGATGTGCAAACATTGAAAAATTAATGACAATGTATAGGAAATATTAATATGCAGTATACCAATATGCAACTATATACAGGGTAAGGATAGCCAAAAATTTACATTTTTTGAATCCTTGTTAAAAATAGATTTAAAAAAATAACAGGTGCAAATCCGAAGTCACAAATTAATATTTACAAATTAATATTTACATTTAATATATACACATATATTATTATATTTCTAGATATTAATAATATTTATTTATTAATATCTAAAAATATCAAAACCTGCTTTATTGATGGAGGAAACAGAAAGGTGAAAAGTGATCACTAGAAACACCTTCAAGTTTCATTAGTCAATCCAACAGGCTTTTGTTATTTTCAAAGATTTTTGCTTTTTCCTTGCTTAAATATTAATTTGTGACATGGATTCTATAGTATGTTAAAAGCAGCAATTACAGAACACTCTGCATATTTCTATAATAGGTCTATTGTGTTAAAATGTAAAATCAAAGCCATTTCTTGTCTATACTTACATCTTTCAAAGTGATGACGCCACGATTGTCACAGTCTAAATCATCAAATACTTCACGTAATTTTCTGGAGAAAAAAAAATAGTTTTGTTTAATATAAGAAGATTCATTAGTTGTAACAGATTAATGATGAAGGTTTAAAGAGAATAAATTACATCAATTTATCTCCAATTTGAATGTATGCCATTTTCACCGGTTGAGCAGCATCCTCAATTGTAAGATCTTGGGGTTTGATATTCTTCTTAAGAATTGTAGCTGTGCACTGAACAGCGTGGTGTATGTTATCAAATACCGGGATTCCTTGCCGTTCTACCAGGTCCTGAAGATATCGCTGCCCTTGTTGTAAGTCTTTAAACTCTCTGAAAATAGAAAACAGAGATATTTTAATATTTCTCAAAACGGAGGAAAATAAATTAACTGAAAAACTGTGTTTAGGAATTAGGTGAGATTTAGAGATGCAAAAAAAAATCTTCAACGAAAGGGAAAAATATTATTTAGCTAATTATGATGGGTTATTTATCTATTTCCTTGTAATATCATTAACACATTGAGTGCCATGTCAGTCAGCAGTTCTTGACACTAAACGAACTGTTTAGTCCTCGGTAACAGACATGATATAAAACTAAACAATTTATATTGTTTTAAGTCATTAATGAAAATTTATTTAAAATTAATTTAATTTTTATTTATTACAATTCAAATTTTAATTTACTTTAATCTGTTAGAATCTGTTTACTTCAATTTGTTAGTATCTTCTTTATGACATATTCGAGTCTTCATATTGTTGAACTTACTTACTTACTGTTGACACAACTTAAACNTTACATAAAAGACTTACCCACAAGTTTGGCTAAAGGAGTTAAAACTGAACACAAAATATCTGAAGCTTTGTTCTTCAAAGCAGATAAATTAGGAAACTGACTATCAGCCTAAAATCAAAGTTTTAATAGGAATTAGTTATTTAATAACATGAAAGCATAAAAAACAAATTTGATAGTTTAAGCTTACATATAGGAAACAGTTTTCAAAATAAATTTAATAATAGTACTTTTTTTAAAAATTACTTTTTGTGAATGTGTAGGCAATAAAAAAGCAGAAATTTTTTTTTGTAATAAAAAACAAATAAAAATTTCATTTTCATTTTTTTTCCTTTAAATAATTTAAGATGATGAAATGTCAATAACAGACTCAAGGTTTTGAGAGCTAATATTTATATATTTAAAGCAAGAAAATAAATAGACTTATACTTTCTTGGAGTAGTTTTTATATGTAACTAAGTATATTATAACAATTAATTTGCTTATTTATGGCTTTATTTTCAAATTCAACAGTTGAAAGATTCTATTTTTACAACCTTTATGGGTTAAAAGATCAGCGTGGAATAAATAAATTTTAAAATATCTTATTTATAAGCAAATAATTTGCAGTAGCTTTTCAATTTCTTTGGGAATTTTTTAGAATTCTAAATAATATTGTATGCTTAATATCGTTAGAAGAAAAATTTTTTGCTAATTTCTAAATTTTGTAACCAACTTTTCAAAATCTTTAGATTAAAATTTGATCACAACAATTTTTATTGTTTTTTTATGCATAATATATTTTACACCCTATACTTCTTAAGTAATTTTGAGCTGTATTATATAAATATTTACAAAAAATTTTTAAAAAAATTTTTAATTATAAAAGAGCAAATAATATTAAATTATTATGTTAAATACACCAAGCATGAAAGATTAAAATATCAAATGGTATTAAAATTACCTGTTTTCTAAATTCTGTCATAATACAACAAAACTGGTTAAAATCAATTAAACAATTATCAAAAGCTTCATCGTTTAGCTCATTTGTGCAGGAGTGTTTATGCTGATTTACTATAGATTTTAAACTATCCATATGCATTTCTTTATCTGTGAGTATCTTGTAAGCCATGCAAACCTAAAATAAAGAAAGAGAAACTGAGTTTAGAATTTCAAATTAATTGAAATAAAAATTTATCCGTGTGTTTTTGGTAAATTACATTAAACTACACTTCAATAAATTACAAAATCGATAAATTATATTAGATTTGGAGAAAAAAATATTGTGCCCCTTTGAGGTGGAATATGTACATAATATTATGTATCCCATTATAACTGTTCAGTTTATCTATCTTATTTTAGCATTCATGTTTAATTAATATTAGGATATTTTTTCTTAATATCAAGGAACACTATGAGTAAATTATTTAAAATCATTTTCTATTAAGCTTGATAACAAATACTACAAGTGATGAACAAAAATTTAATTCTACAGGAATATATTATAAAAAAATGTGCAAACATTGAAAAATTATTGAAAATGTATAGGAAATATTAATATGCAGTATTCCAATATATACTTATATACAGTTTAAGGACAGACAAAAATTTACATTTTTCGAAACCTTGTTATAAATAGATTTTTAAAAAAAAAACAGATGCAAATCCGAAGGCACAAATTAATATTTACACAAAGAAAAAAAATGAACATACTATCAAATCACCACTGACGAAGGCTGATTTAAAAATATCAAAACCTGTTTTATTGATGGGGGAAACAGAAGGGTGAAAAGTGATCACTAGAAACATCTTCAAGTTTCATTAGTCAATCCAACAGGGTTTTGATATTTTCAAAGATTTACTCACTCGTGATTAGACAACACTTGCCGGGTTTTTCCTTGCTTAAATATCAATTTGCGACATGGGTTCTATAGTATGTTAAAAGCAGTCATAACAGAACACTCTGCATATTTCAATAATAGGTCTATTGTGGTGAAATGTAAAATCAAAACCACTTGTCTATACTTACATCTTTCAAAGTGATGACGCCACGATTGTCACAGTCTAAATCATCAAATACTTCACGTAGTTTTCTGGAGAAAAAAAAAATATTTTGTTTAACATAAGAAGATTCATTTGTTGTAACAGATTAATGATAAATGTTAAAAGAGAATAAATTACATCAATTTATCTCCAATTTGAATGTATGCCATTTTCACCGGTTGAGCAGCATCCTCAATTGTAAGATCTTGGGGTTTGATATTCTTCTTAAGAATTGTAGCTGTACACTGAACAGCGTGGTGTATGTTATCAAATACCGGGATTCCTTGCCGTTCTACCAGGTCCTGAAGATATCGCTGCCCTTGTTGTAAGTCTTTAAACTCTCTGAAAATAGAAAACAGAGATATTTTAATATTTCTCAAAACGGAGGAAAATAAATTAACTGAAAAACTGTGTTTAGGAATTAGGTGAGATTTAGAGATGCAAAAAAAAATCTTCAACGAAAGGGAAAAATATTATTTAGCTAATTATGATGGGTTATTTATCTATTTCCTTGTAATATCATTAACACATTGAGTGCCATGTCAGTCAGCAGTTCTTGACACTAAACGAACTGTTTAGTCCTCGGTAACAGACATGATATAAAACTAAACAATTTATATTGTTTTAAGTCATTAATGAAAATTTATTTAAAATTAATTTAATTTTTATTTATTACAATTCAAATTTTAATTTACTTTAATCTGTTAGAATCTGTTTACTTCAATTTGTTAGTATCTTCTTTATGACATATTCGAGTCTTCATATTGTTGAACTTACTTACTTACTGTTGACACAACTTAAACACTTATTTTAAAAAAATTTCACACAAACATAGTAAAATAAAACTTATGAATAATCTTGTCATTTCCTTTTTTGAGTTTTTCCATATTTATTTTATTGCTGATTCAGGATACTTAATTTCTACTCTGATTAACTCATTTTTATTTTATTTTACAATTTATTCATAAAAGTGTTTCATTTTTCTAATTATAAGCAAATTACAACAAAACTTTTTCAACATTATAGCGTTTTAGTTGTATTCAAAGTAAAACAATTGCTATTTTTTAAGTCCACCTAACAAATAATTTTCTAAGCTTTAAATACAATTTATTAAAACTAAATAAAGAAAAAAAACTTTTCCTGTTTCCTATTTAGTGCTATTGAATTCTTTAGTACATAAGCATCAATTTTGCATTAAATTTTTCATACAGGTGTTAATTACAAAATTCTTTTTAAACATTTGACTACAGAACATGTGGAATTTTCTAGAATATTAAGCTTTCTATTTTAAGGATATTAAAATTTTGTCAAGTAGATCAAAAATAAAAGTTGCAAGAGTGTTTGTGTGTGAGTAGCTGAACACATTAATCATATCTTTACAGTAGTGTTTTTCTTTAAATGTTATCTTGATCATTTGTCAAAATTAAAAAATAAAATGTATGAATTTAAGCCTTTACATTTTTTTACTTATTTCTTGATTAAATGAACACAATTTAACAGCATTTAAGCCTTCCAAAAAATCAGCATTAGCATACAATAGCTAATATCATTATACATTTATTTTAAAAAGACATAAATATAATGCTTACTTTTCAGTGATTTTTTCTCCCATAACAACAGATCCAGGTTTTTCAAATTCATGCACAACAAGCATAAGTTTTCTTTGAGTTCCTGAATAACAACAACAGATTCATATTATTAATTAAAACTAAATGAAAAAAAGAAAACTAAATCTTTAAAACGAGTGTAAATGCAACTGAGAACTTTTTAACCTACCAGCAACTTGGGCAGCTTCAATCATGGAGGCTACAGATCTAGTTTGATTATCAATAACGAAAAACATAACTTCAGCATTCTGAAAAAAATAAATAAGAAATTTTTAATAAACAAAATTATAACTGAAATGTTATAGTAAAAATTTATCTAAATAATAAAAATTAATTAAAGCAATAAAAAATACAATGCTTGAAAATAAAGCTAAACAACATGAATCAAACAGGACAAATTAAGAACTTTCCTCATTGTTGAAACACTAATGTTATAGCACTGAGGGATTTTCTTAATTATATAATTAAAACTATAGTATGTGGGTTGTTGTTGCTTTATATGTGTTTGACTCACATTGCCTAGCTTTATTTTCATAGAATATTATTTATTTCCAATAAATAATAAACTAAATATGTCATTTATTTCTGCTCAGTGTACCCTTTCTTCATTTGGATACAATATTTGTTTAAAGTTCACAAGTAGCAAAATAATCAACTAACCTGTTTGGCTTGATTTTCAAGTTCTATTAGTTGAGGGCCCCATTCAGCCACTTGCTAAAGATAAAAGATAAAAAAAGCTTGTAAAATTCTAAAAATATTTAAAACTTACATGAGCTAATGATGCTACGATTTAGCAAACTCTTTTTAAAATATAAATATTAAACACATACTCCCATCGTTTTATACATTAAAAAAACTGATACATTCAATTAACTACTTGGCATAGGCTAAATACATAAGATAATTGAAACTGACAAATATTGGTCAATACTAAATTTCAATTGCTGTTAGAATTAAGCATTGTTTGATATATTTATAGTACAGATTTTTGTTAGAAAGAATAATGAATATTTTTATTTTAATGAAAGCTTCTTCCTAAGTTGAGTTAACAAATTTTATATAATCTACGAATACATTGAGAACAGAAGAGAATAAGTATTTATTTCTTAAAAAATACAAAGTAAGAACTCATAACTATAACAATAATCACAAGAAAAGTTGTGTTTATTGGGCATTTCTTAATGCATTAGCACAACTCAACAGAAAATTAACAAGATTCTTATTCATTCTATATTTTTGTTATAGTATAATAAAAATTTAAATCTATTTTAATTCATTGAAACAGATAATTCTTGTGTTTTTAAACATTATCTCAATAGCCAAGTGCTTTGCAAAATGGAAATTTTTCTCAATACAAAACTTTTTCTTTGTAAAACAGGCCTTAGGTCGTCTTCAAGCATTGCAAATGCTTAATCTGTTAATAGCATCTCACAAATCACTCTTAAAAGTGAAATTATAGTATTATAAAACTCCTTGCATTGAACTATTTTGATGAATATATCAACACTATTTTGACAATAATAAAGATGCTTAAAAAGGAATAATAAGAATAAATACTTACAGGATTATAATATGAAATCTTGAGTGATTTAAATGTTGGTATGGCAATGTCTTTTCTCCATGTAGTAGGATTACAGGAGCCACCAAGAAATACTAAAAGTATAAAAGAGTGAATTAATCAAACTGTATTTAATTGAAAAATTTTAATAAAAATTTTAGATTTGTTATTTTGTTCCTAAAAATACTTTAAAGAAAACTTACCTTGATATTTTGATGAACCTGAAATTAGAAAAAAACATTTTTTAATTAAAAAGTAAGAAAAAAGATCAGTTTTTAAAATAAAAGATTACTACTTGATTTGTTTTTATTAAATAAATAAACATAAATTTAAAATATTTTTTACAACGTAAGTTATATTTTGATGTATATAATTACAAAGAAAATGCAGAAATTAATTTTAGTCAATGAATTTCAGTATTGGAAATAAAAGATCTAAGATTTATTAAAAATGATTATTTTGTGTTAAAAACCAATAATTAAACATAGAATTTTTTTTTAAATTGGCACTTCTGTGAAACAAAAGCTTTGTTTTGCGAATAGATCAAAATTGATATAAAAAATTAAAAACTAATTTTAAAAATAGAATGAAAGTAACTGAAAAAATAGCTTACGTTGTGGGACAGTATTTCTCCTTCTCAATCGTTTTGTTTTGGACAAAGGTGTAGGGCGAGGAATTCTAGAATAAAAAATTAATGTTAATGCAAGATTAAAAAACATACTCAAAAAACTTTTTTTTAAACCATTTAATATTCCAAATACATTGTAATAGATATTTTACAGATATATTTTTATCAACAAAAATATATTTAATATTTTGTGTTGTTAACATGCTTTTTAATTTCAGAAATTTAAAGTTACGATTAAAATTTTAAGAAATTAAAAAAACATTTTAATTAATACTAAAAAAAAAGAATTATTTTTTAAGGTACTTTACTTTGAAGAGAGAAATATTTTTAAAGCAAAATATGCATTATCCAAGTATTAAAAGAATAAATTCAAGAACATAAAACTTGAAAGAAATAGTTTTCAAATACAGTAGCAGGAAACTTAACAAGATGATTAGGTGATATTTTAATTATTGAAATTTCTNCCATCTTTGCTCTGATGGCACTGGCAGAAAAAAAAAAATATATATATATATATTTTTTTAAATTTAAGCATTTAAAAATTGGTTATTTTCACAACATCAAAATTGTTTAAAGAAATGACATAAATTACATATAACATTTCCTAATTAAATAATGTGTGAACAAAATTTATTTTTTTCAAAAATACTGCAGTTAATTTTAATTTGTTTTCCATCAGGTAATAAAAAATACATAAATTCCTTTTTGGCCAGCATTTAAATTAAAGCCCTTTTTAATTATACACAAATTGGGTAATTCAAAAATGATTTTAAACTTACTATAACACATTTATTTTAGTTCTAGCGCAAGCAATGTGTTTTTAATACATTTAGTGTTATTCACTTTTATCAAAACTGCTTACATAAAAAATTAAGATTTTAAGTGATTTCTGCAATTTTAAAATAAATTATTACTTAAAATTTTTTAAAAACCAAACATTAAAATGTAAGAATTTATTTTTTTTGCACGATTTGTCAGATGATTATACAGTAATTTGATTTACTTTTGATTATCTAAATAAAAAACTATTTTAGTTTTAAAAAAAAGAGGACATAGAAAGGTAGATAAAAATAAATTTTTTATAGTAATATTAATTGTTTTTCCTAACGGATTTAATTATAAATAAATAAATAATCATATAACATATTGAATTAAAAAGTGGCTCTGTATTAACGAATTTATTGAAATAAAAAAGTGCAGATTTTAAAATAAAAGTATTGAAAGCAGATTAATAAGGAATTATTACTTTTTTAAATAATGTTGTTATACAAGCTTACCTTGTGATGATGAAGGAAATATATCCATATCGTGAAAAGAGTGAGGTACAACTTGTGAACTCATTTTATTTAATGAGTCTGCTCTTTCAGTCCATATGAGAAACAGCTTGCTACATTGACACAAAAAAGATGAAATTCAGATGAAATTTATATAAAACGACTTATATAACAATAAATTACAGTAGAAAATTATTGTCATAATTAAGGGTTTCCTTCAGACAAAAAAGGGATTCAATTTCCTCTACTTCAACCAATAAAGGCTATTTATATGAAAGCAATATATTTATTTATTAAGTAGCTAATTAAAATTTTTTAATATTTGTCTTGTCTGATTTTATTCCTTGAAATGTATTATATCGAACCTATTAGCGGAAATCTTAAGTCAAAAATATTTCTAAAACTTGAGAAAATTTTCAAAATATTTAACATTTTAAAAAATTAAATTCGTTTAATAGGCTCACTAGAACATATTTCAAAGAATTAAAAGAAACAAAAAAATTACGAAATTTCAATTATTTCCATAATAATTAAGAACAATGCGATCATATAATTCTCCGTAAGTTTACACAGATTTGAATCCCTTTTCTGATTAAAGTGGAGACAAAGGGAGAAAAAAAACCCACCAATATCTACTAATTAATTCAATTTCAATGTAACTAAATTTTAATTAAGTTAAAAAAGGCTATAGTTTATTGTACAAATATATTGTGAGATGTTATTGAACTAAGCAACTATACAATAAAAATAATTAAATTACTAATGTAATAAAAAATTATATAACTCTTCTTTTTAAATTTTTTTTCTTAGTTTAATTTTTTTATCTTTTTCCTTGATTTTTATACATTTTAAGAGTTTATGTTAGAATAAATGACTTAAAATTACTGTGTCTCTAAACAGCGACATTTATTATTGTGTATAAGAGGAAATTATATGAATAATTTATTCCAAATGAAATTTCCAATTAATACTGAAATGAGTATGAATCAAATCGTAATATATACAAACCAAAGTTATTTATTATTTTTAATCACCTATTATGAATCTATATTACTATTCAAATTTTAAAAATGCACATTTATCATAAATCATAAAATAAATTAAAGATGACACAAAAATATTCTTACGCAAATGCATCAAATGAAAATTGAACGCAAGATGACATATTGACATGAGGATATGACAAAAAGAAATCCATTGTCATAAATGATACTGGCAGTACAGGATAGCGAGTAAATGAAAGCACGTTATAAAGTTATCACAAGTAAAATTCATAAAAGGTATAATAAAAAAAAGTATTTTTTGTTTTTTTATTTTTTTAAAATAAATAAATAACAAGTATAAAAACCGTCGTCACCGCTTCATTTTTATTCGGATCATAAAGTCGGATGATCGAACATATTTCATCTTTATAGTAAAAAATTATCGCACACTATTAATTTACATATTACGGTTTGAGAGAATCGACCAATGAGAAGGATGGTAGTAATCGTTATTGTATTTCATTATCAAACTTATTATTTTTATTTTATTTTTTTAATTCATTTCTTATCAGGATGAAAAGAACTTTCGAAATTCGGAAATGTGACGTCACTTTTTTTTTTCTGTCTTTTCCTCACGTCAGTAGGACAGAGGTAGGCTGTTGATGTTCAAAAATAAAATTGTATAATAATAATCATTTACGTTCTTTTTCTCCCAAAATAAAATATTTCTAAGGCAACGACTTTTTAAATTATTATTATTATTATTATTTTTTTTTTTGGGGGGGGGGNTTATTTTTTTTGGGGGGGGGGGATATGTGAAAATGCTACAATACAATCTAAAGTTAAAGAATAGGTTTTTTAGATGGAAATTATAAAATTAATAGCTATAAAGTTATAATAAAGCTTTATCAGAAAAGAAACGTAGTGAGAAAATTTTCAGAAGCCTTAATCATACTGAAACATAAATCTTTAATAAGTTATCGAATTTAAATATTGTTTTTTTAACTTTTATTCATAGTGTTTTCATTCTCTTTTTTCAAAAATAGCGCTGTTATCTGAATTAGTTTTCGATATTGGATAAGTTAAACGTCACTACCGTTGTGTGCCAGGAAAACAACATTTTTGGTTTCGTACTTTTAAGTTATGGCCAATTTAGTTTGTTACAGACATTCTTTGATAGATACTTTAGATTGTCATATCGAAAAACTGCAGTTCATCGCTTTAGGCAGTAGCTATGTAATGAATACAATGTTATCTATCACTGTCTTACGAAATTAAGTTATATTACTTAAGCTAAAAATATGTATTTTATAAAATGTATTTTCGTATTGCGTATTTGTATGTCATATATCTATGCGTATTTTCTAATTTAAAATAGCCAGGATGAGAATTTTGTCCCCCCCCCTCCATCTAATGTAGCTTGCAAACTTTGGGAGATAAGTTATTTAAATTATTTATATTATCATTAGAGCTAGAGCGTTTAGAAAAACTCCAAGACATGTGTTAGAAATATATGTAAGAAAATAAACACTTGCTTTTTGTAACTATATGCTTGCTAAACTTTCTAAGATTTTTATACTTAGAGGGGTGTGTGAAGCCTTATCTTTCTTTTTCATACGTCCCTAAATTAGAACATAATCGTGTTTTTTTTTTCCATATTCTTTCTCACAATTTTTTTTTTGAGGTATACGGTCACATTATATTTTATTTAAAAATATGCCAAAAAAACACGATTAAAAAGTTACAGAATAAAGTCGTCATAAACTACCTATTATTTCTTCAAATAAAATTAGAAATTTTGGAATTAAATTAAAATTTAGAAGGACAGAATTTTTTTTGCTGGAACTTTTTAATTGAAATAAGAGAAAAAAGTTTAAAGTGAAAACTTATATTTAATGGATGCTCGTCATATTTAGACAATGACGAAGAAAATTAATGAATTTAAAACAAAAATAACAAGTGAGAAAATTTCTAGGGTACAAAGAGAATGATGAGTCGATTTAGTTCAGAACAATTAGTTGCGATGATAAAAAGTAATAACCAGAAGAAGGAAATATAATATAAATATTAGCTTTTTCATTTTTTTCTTCTTTTGGTTTAAAATATTAAACGAAAAAAATTCTATCGTTCAACGTTCAGAGGCTATTTATATAAGCTCTCTAAAAATCTTAATGCATATCATAGGTAGTAGTTTATTTAAGTCGTACTAGAACTGCCCAATGAGCTATTGGCGACGGTTCTTGGAAGTTTCCGTGTGAATGATCCGAAGACATGTCATCACAATTTTGATCCTCTTCAGATGGTATGACTTCTCAGCTTTGGTAGCACGCGAAGTCAAGAACTTTACGATTGAACGGTTTCCAGAGGACCAATGCCTGGGGCCTTCGGTTCCCTCGCAGTCTGATCAAAATGGTCAACCAAACACTGACCGCAACCATTGATACTTGACTTCTGTGATCTACTGGGAACCGTGTGTAGATAATAGGAAACCTATACACGCAAAATACAAAAAAAAAAAAAAAAAAAAAAAAAAAAAAAAAAAAAAAAAAAAAAAAAAAAAAAANGGGGGGGCGTTACATTTAATGCTTTCAATATACATAATAAATAATCAAAACAAAAATAAAATGTCTATAACAAAAAATAAGGAAGTGAGAACTTACCGTGTGAATTCTCCATAGGTGGATATGGACATGATGCAGCTGCGAGCCCACCCAACCACGACGATGGTTTTGCCCTACAACACAAAATATAAAATAAGTACATATTTCTAACAAAATGTGTTTTTCAATAAATATATCGTTAGTAATGTGTCCTCATGACACTAAATTTATCGAA